CCCCTGATAGGAACTTTCCTTTGGGTTGTAATCAGGAGGAGTCCATGGCACATTTCTTGGTGGATTGTTGGGGAAGCCGTGAGGTCTGGAAGGTAGTAGCTGACAGAGTTAGGATCCAAAGGTTGGAGAACTTGGCTGCTCTGACAGGTTTTATGGCGTTCCCCCCACAATACACAACATAGACAGAGGAACGATGTACATCATTATCGCTGTGGTCAAGTACTATCACTGGCACGCACGGACCAAGGTAGCCATGCACAATGAGCTGTTGCTGGCCAGGAAAATCGCAGATGTAGTCCTCTCTGAGTTGAGGTAAATAAAGAGCTTAAAGCTAAAGAAATATTGGAGGAATATAAAATTATGGGATAGAATTTATTTATAGCATTAAAATTCTATGTACAGTTGTGTTCAAAATAATAGCAGTGTGTTGAAAAAAAAGTGAATAAAGCTGAAAATCCTTCTAATAGCTTTTATTTCCATCCACACAAATGCATTGGGAACACGACACATTCTATTCCAAATCACAACATGAAGAAAAATACATCAAATTTGTGTTGTTCCTCTAAAAAAATTGAAGAAAAGTGAATATTAGACGGTTCAAAAAAAATCGCAGTGTTTGTATTCTTCTTTACAAACTCCAACATTCACTATATAAACTGAGAAATGTTTGAAGATTTTGCTTTCCTTTGAATGACTTCATGAATATTTGGTTGTAGTCGCACTGTTTCTGAGAACTGCTGTACATCTGTGTTGCATGGAGTCCCCCAACTTCTGGCCCCTGTGATCAGGTATTCCAGCCCAGGATGATTGGACCACATTCCACAGTTCTTCTCTATTTCTTGGTTTTGCCTCAGAAACGGCATTTTTGATGTCACCCCACAAGTTTTCTATTGGATGAAGATCCGGGGATTGGGCTGGCCACTCCATAACGTCCATCTTGTTGGTCTGGAACCAAGATGTTGCACGTTTACTGGTGTGTTTGGGGTCGTTGTCTTGTTGGAACACCCATTTCAAGGGCATTTCCTCTTCAGCATAAGGCAGCATGACCTCTTCAAGTATTCTGATGTATTCAAACTGATCCATGATCCCTGGTATGCGATAAATAGGCCCAACACCGTAGTATGAGAAACATCCCCATATCATGATGCTTGCACCACCATGCTTCACTGTCTTCACAGTGTACTGTGGCTTGAATTCAGTGTTTGGGGGTCATCTGGCAAACTGTCTCCGCCCACTAGACCCAAAAAGAACAATCTTACTTTCATCAGTCCACAAAATGTTGGGCCATTTCTCTTTAGGCCGGTCAATGTGCTCTTTGGCAGATTGTAACCTCTTCAGCACATGTCTTTTTCCCAACAGTGGGACTTTGCGGGGACTTCTTGCAGATAGCTTGGCTTCACATCGGCGTCTTCTAATTGTAACAGTCCTCACAGGGAACATCACACCTTCTTTCATCTTCCTGGGGCTGATTGTTGGCTGAGTCTGCGCCATTTTGGCTATTCTTCTATCCATTCCAATGGTAGTTTTTCGCTTTCTTCCACGTCTTTCAGGTTTTGGTTGCCATTTTAAAGCATTTGTGATCATTTTAGCTGAGCAGCCGATCATTTTCTGCACTTCTTTATATGTTTTCCCCTCTCCAATCAACTTTTTAATCGCGGTACGCTGTTCTTCTGAACAATGTCTGGAACGACCCATTTTCCTCAGAATTTCAGAGAGAAATGCACTGTAACCAGCATGTACAACATTTGCTGCCTTCCTTCCTTCAATAAGGGCAATAATTGCACCTGTTTATCAAAGAATGAATGACCTCACTAATAGAACTCCACACTGCTATTATTTTGAACACGCCCCTTTCAATGAGTGATTCAATGACACAGAATCAGCAGCATGCATGTCATGACTGTTGGGTCTGTTGGATTTCTATGACTCTAATACACCTGCTAGGAAATTATTTGCCATGTAGAAATATCATTTCCACCAAAAACAGTGATTGATCCGGTTAGTGATGTCTGACTGCTATTACTTTGAACACAACTGTATAACTTTCATTTCATTTAAACTGCTGAGTTTCTGACCTGAAGAATATGTAAGCAGTTACATTGTTGTTATTTTCATGTTTTTATTTTTATGATGGTTACAGTTTTGTTACTTGGTATTCTGTTTGTTTTTACAAATAAAAATATCCATAGATACAGAATAAGAGGAGACACCGAGAATGACACCCGGCAAACAGGACAGGAGAAGTTATACTGTGTAGAGTCCATACATACAGAATAGGAGGAGATACCAAGAATTACACCTGGCATTCAGGACAGAGGTTGGACTGTGCAGAGTCCATATATACAGAGTAAGGACAGATACCGAGAATTACACCCGGCATTCAGGACAGAAGTTGGACTGTGCAGAGTCCATACATACAGAGTAAGGACAGATACCGAGAATTACACCCGGCATCCAGGACAGAAGTTGGACTGTGCAGAGTCCATACATACAGAGTAAGGACCAGGGACGGACTGACCATTTGGAAACTCTGGCACTGCCCGAGGGCCCGGGGTCAGTGGGGGGCCCCATGAGATGCCCTTGGTACCTTTTTTCATAGGCTTTTTTGAGTTTGGGCAAGGACACAGGGGCCCCATGATCCCCTATTGCCCAGGGGCCCCATGAGTTGTCAGTCTGCCCCTGGTAAGGACAGATACCGAGAATGATGCCTAACATCCAGGACAGGAGAAGTGGGACTGTGCAGAGTCCAGGGATGGACTGACCATTTGGAAACTCGGGCACTGCCCGAGGGCCTGGGGTCAGTAGGGGGCCCCATGAGATGCCCCTGGTACCTTTTTCATAGGCTTTTTTGAGTTTTGGCAACGGCACAGGGGCCCCATGATCCCTTATTGCCCGGGGGCCCCATGAGTTGTCAGTCCACCCCAGGCAGAGTCCATCCATACAGAATAGGAGGAGATACCGAGAATGACACCCGGCATCCAGGACAGGAGAAGTGGGACTGTGCAGAGTCCATCCATACAGAATAGGAGGAGATACCGAGAATGACACCCGGCATCCAGGACAGGAGAAGTGGGACTGTGCAGAGTCCATCCATACAGAATAGGAGGAGATACCGAGAATGACACCCGGCATCCAGGACAGGAGAAGTGGGACTGTGCAGAGTCCATCCATACAGAATAGGAGGAGATACCGAGAATGACACCCGGCATCCAGGACAGGAGAAGTGGGACTGTACAGAGTTCATGCATACAGAATAAGGACAGATACTGATAATGACACCCGGCATCCAGGACAGGAGAAGTGGGACTGTGCAGAGTCCATCCATACAGAATAGGAGGAGATACGAGAATGACACCCGGCATCCAGGACAGGAGAAGTGGGACTGTGCAGAGTTCATGCATACAGAATAAGAACAAATTCCGAGAATGACACCCGGCATCCAGGACAAGGGAGTTGGTACTGTGTATGGGAAGTGGTACTGTGCAGATTGTTTCTGTTCTTTTCCAGTGAACTCTGACCCAGTCCGGGTCTCTGTTGATATGTATAGGAGGTATACATAGCAGTCAGATGTTATCGGTGTTGGTTGGAGTGCAGAGGGGCCGTGTCTCTTCACCTTGCGGTGTCTTTCCTCTATCAGGGACAGACTCCAGGTCCTGCTCAGTCCTGATTCAGCTGTTGTTGCATTTCTTTGCTTGCAGTGTAAACAGGTGAATAGAGTGGGCTCTGTGTGTTGGAGGACAGCAGCCTATATAAGTCTGTATACACACCGCTGCCACTTGTTACTTTTATGTTTACCCCAAAACATTGGAATCCTCCGGCTAACTTATTCTACATGACTGTGCAAGTCACTAAAGTCATAGTTCACGAAAAGGAAAAAAATGCTGCAAGTAGCTGCAGACTTACCCTCAGAGGAGCCGCTGAGTTCTTGGGGTCCCTGTTCCCAGAGCCCATGACACCTTCAGGCTGAAGAGGGGATTTCTATTGTAACTATACAGTATATATACTACTACAACAAAAAAATGTAACGGAGAAAGCAATGACCTCCTCTAACAAATAATCAGTAGGAAAATAGAGTATACATTTTCTAATAAGAAAACAGACCAGAGAATGACAACTAAATCCTCAATTTAAGGAGGTCCTGTCTAAGGGTAATGCTAAAATAATACTTTATCTTTATCACATTCTTTCCCTACTGGCCAGTATTTTGGGTCCCAAATCCAGCATGGAGGACTCAGATAAGGTTCCTCCTAGCCCGGGTATAGGTGCCTATACTGTGTTCAAAGCAAACAATATTGTTCCTCTCTAATAGGGTGCAGTGGGGTTTGGCCAGTGGCCTCTCACCAACTTCTGGGGTGACAGCTGGTCTGTCTCTGTTCTCCTTCATCAGTAGCAGTGGTGTTCTCCCCAATGTTTAGGCAACAACAATAGCCAGCTAGAGCGGTGTTGTCCTCAATGATTAGACAACAGCACCAGTCAACGGCAGTGGTGTTCTCCTCAATGATTAGGTGGCAGCACCAGTCAACGGCAGTGGTGTTCTCCCCAATGATTAGGTGGCAGCACCAGTCAACGGCAGTTGTGTTCTCCCCAATGGTTAGGTGGCAACACCAGTCAACGGCAGTTGTGTTCTCCCCAATGATTAGGTGGCAGCACCAGTCAACGGCAGTTGTGTTCTCCCCAATGATTAGGTGGCAGCACCAGTCAACGGCAGTGGTGTTCTCCTCAATGATTAGGTGGCAGCACCAGTCAACGGCAGTGGTGTTCTCCCCAATGATTAGGTGGCAGCACCAGTCAACGGCAGTTGTGTTCTCCCCAATGGTTAGGTGGCAACACCAGTCAACGGCAGTTGTGTTCTCCCCAATGATTAGGTGGCAGCACCAGTCAACGGCAGTTGTGTTCTCCCCAATGATTAGGTGGCAGCACCAGTCAATGGCAGTGGTGCTCCTTCACTCCAGTCTTGCACAGGTGTATCGGCTCCTCCACTTCAATCTAGCGCAGGTGTACTGGCTCCTCCCCTTCATTCTAGCGCAGGTGTACCGGCTCCTCCCCTCCAGTCTTGCACAGGTGTATCGGCTCCTCCCCTTCAGTCTAGCGCAGGTGTACTGGCTCCTCCCCTTCAGTCTAGCGCAGGTGTACCGGCTCCTCCCCTCCAGTCTTGTTCAGGTGTACCAGCTCCTCCTCTTCAGTCTTGCACAGGTGTACCAGCTCCTCCCCTCCAGTCTTGCACAGGTGTACCAGCTGCTCCCTTCCAGTCTTGCACAGGTGTACTGGATCCTCCCTTTCAGTCTTGCACAGGTGTACCGGCCCCTCCCCTTCAGTCTTGCACAGGTGTACCGGCTCCTCCCTTTCAGTCTTGTTCAGGTGTAATGGCTCCTCCCCTTCAGTCTTGCACAGGTGTAACGGCTCCTCCCCTTCAGTCTTGCACAGGTGTACAGGCTCCTCCCCTTCAGTCTTGCACAGTTGTACCAGCTCCTCCTCTTCAGTCTTGCACAGGTGTACCAGCTCCTCCCCTTCAGTCTTGCACAGGTGTACTAGCTTCTACCCTCCAGTCTTGCACAGGTCTATCGGCTCCTCCCCTTTAGTCTTGCACAGGTGTACCGGCTCCTCCCCTTCAGTCTTGCACAGGTGTAACGGCTCCTCCCCTTCAGTCTTGCACAGGTGTACCGGCTCCTCCCCTTTAGTCTTGCACAGGTGTACTGGCTCCTCCCCCTCAGACTTGCACAGGTGTACCAGCTCCTCCCCTTCAGTCTTGCACAGGTGTGCCAGCTCCTCCCCTTCAGTCTTGCACAGTTGAACCAGCTCCTCCCCTTCAGTCTTGCACAGGTGTACCGGCTCCTCCCCTTCAGTCTTGCACAGGTGTGCCAGCTCCTCCCCTTCAGTCTTGCAAAGATGTACTGGCTCCTCCCCTGGACTGAAATGGCTTCCTCTGATGTCGCTGCACACTGGGAGCTTCTCACAATGTGCATGAGAAGCTGCAGCCAGTCAGATAGAGCTCCGCCCCATTTCCTTTGCCATTAATTTCGAAACCAACCAAGCCTTTCATTTCACCTCATGTTGCTACAGAAAAGAATTTTCTTTTCTTTCCAGGTCACAGCTCATGCTTATTTCTTTTTCAATTACATTTCTCACACGATTCTCCCATCATTGATTAGAAATTAGTTTGTTTCTCCAAAAATTTCCAACATGCCCGATCACTCAAATTCGATGGTTGTTAGAAAATCGACTGTTGTTGTGGTCCACTAATGGTACGAAATTCAAACGAAATTTTGAACAAAAATTTGAACAAAAAGATTGTCGAAAGGAAATTCTTTCAAAACACGACCCATGTAAGGCAGGCCTTAGAGCTCGTACCCCACCCTCCTGAGAGGGCTCTGCAGGCCATACATGGGTCGAATTCTGAACACATTTTCTTCAGAAATTCTGAAAGTTTGAGCGTTTGTAATCCAACCAACCAAGCCTTCAATTTCACATGTTGCTACAGAAAAGTATTTTCATTGCCAAGAATCTTCTTTTCTTTCCAGGTGACAGCTCATGCTCATTTCTTTTTCGATTACATTTCTCGCACGATTGTCTCATTGATTAGAAATTTGTTTGTTTTTTTTTTTAATTTCCAACATGCCCGATCACTCAAATTCGATGGTCACTGGAAAATCGGTCATTTCTGTGACCCACTAATGGTGCGAAATTCGAACGAACATTCTTAGAAAAGAATTTCGAAAGAAAATTCTTTCAGAATTCGACCCACGTATGGCTGGCTTTAGGCTGGCCATACATGATACAATTTTCCTTTTAGATTTACCGAAAAAGCATATAATATGAGGTCAACCTAAACAACCCTTTCGATTGTATCTAATTATGCAGGCCCTTGCGCTACATAGCTGAAGGTAAATCTAAAGGAAATTTGGCAGAAATTGGACAGAAATTTGTAATAAAATTGTATAGTGTATGGTCAGCCTTATGCAGGCCATACACGGGTTGAATTCCGAATGAATTTTCTTTAGGAAATCGGAAATGTAGTGCGTTCTGTAATCTGATGTTGCCACCATTGATTTTGAAATTTGACCAACCAAGCCTTTAATTTAACCTCATGTTGCTACAGAAAATAATTTTCGTAGCCAAGAATTTTCTTTTCTTTTCAGGTCACAGCTCATGCTCATTTTTAATTTGCCTCACGATTCTCCCATCATTGATTCGAAGTTCGTTTGTTTTTCAAAAAATTTCCAACTTGCCCGATCACTGAAATTTGAAGGTCACACGAAAATCGGCCGTTTGTATAATCTTCATTAATTATGTGCAGCTGAGGCTGCAGAGATGGAGGCTGATGGCTGTTTCCTCAATCTCCTTTCTCTGTCTCAAAGGTGAAACATCAGAGGTCTGTTTAGACCCCTGATATGTCACCAAAGCCCCCGATGGGGCTCCTAAAAAAATTATAAAAAAAGTGTAAAAAATAAAATAAAAAAACTGACACCGGTGGCAGAACTACTAGGGTCACAAAGGCCACACATGCGACTGGGCCCTGGCCTTCTGCCACCGTAGGGGGGCCCTAAGGCAGCAGGAAGGGGGCCCACTGCAGCCCCTGTGATGGGAGTAAAGGGACCTTCACCCGGAGGGAAAGGCCCAGGCCAGGGGTCGGGTGGGACTTCATGGTTTTTTTGCATCGGGGCTTTGAAGGTTCTGGTTGCACCCATGTTATGGATAATAGTAAAGTACCACATTATGGCCATTAGATGGAGCAGAGGAACAAAAGAAATAGAAACATCCAAACAGATACAATGTAACACATTTAGAAAACACTGGAGGGAAATGGCAAATAAATGTAACCATTGGTCACCCTCCAGCAATCACTATAATTGTTACATTGTATTTCTTGCTACAAAGCTGTATGTACTTCCTAGGCTCCTCCACTCCATCTAGTGGACTAAATTTGGTATTTTGCTACTCTCTCTATAACAGGTGTCTCCAAACGTTCTAAACAAAGGGCCAGTGTACTGTCCTTCAGACTTTAGGAGGGCCAGACTGTGGCCAGCTGGAGTAGAAAATGTCTTGGTGTCAGTGGGAGTAAACAGTGTGCTCCTTGGTGTCAGTGGGAGGAATAGTGCCCCATCATTGGTATCAGTGGGAGGAATAGTGCCCTATCGTTGGTGTCAGTGGGAGGAATAGTGCCCCATCGTTGGTGTCGGTGGGAGGAATAGTGCCCCATCGTTGGTGTTGGTGGGAGGAATAGTGCCCCCATCGTTGGTGTCGGTGGGAGGAATAGTACCCCATTGTTGGTGTTGGTGGTAGAAATAGTGCCCCCACTGTTGGTGTCAGTGGGAGGAATAGTGCCCTCATCGTTGGTGTCGGTGGGAGGAATAGTGCCCCCATCGTTGGTGTCGGTGGGAGGAATAGTGCACTCATCATTGGTGTCAGTGGGAGAAATAGTGCCCTATCATTGGTGTTGGTAGGAAGAATAGTGCCCCCATTGTTGGTGTCGGTGAGAGGAATAGTGCCCCATTGTTGGTGTTGGTGGGAGGAATAGTGCCCCCATCGTTGGTGTCGGTGAAGGAAGGAATAGTGCCCCATCGTTGATGTCGGTGGGAGGAATAGTGCCCCCATCGTTGGTGTCGGTGGGAGGAATAGTGCCCCCATCTTTGGTGTCGGTGGGAGGAATAGTGCCCCCATCATTGGTGTCGGTGGAAGGAATAGTGCCCCATCGTTGATGTCGGTGGGAGGAATAGTGCCCCCATCGTTGGTTTTGGTGGGAGGAATAGTGCCCCTTCGTTGGTGGGAGGAATAGTGCCCCTTCGTTGGTGGGAGGAATAGTGCCCCCATTGTTGGTGTCAGTGGGAGGAATATTACCCCATCATTGGTGTCAGTGGAAGGAATAGTGCCCCATCGTTTGTGTCAGTGGGAGGAATAGTGCCCCATCATTGGTGTCGGTGGGAGTAATAGTGCCCCCATTGTTGGTGTCAGTGGGAGGAATATTACCCCATCATTGGTGTCAGTGGAAGGAATAGTGCTCCATCGTTGGTGTCAGTGGAAGAAATAGTGCTCCCTTGTAGGTGTCAGGGGCAGGAACTATGCTCCACCATTGCTTACAGTGGTGGGAGTAATGGCCCAAGGGCCAGATAAAAACAAGCAAAGGGCCCCCAGGCCGTAGTTTGGAGACCACTGGTCTATAATAAAAGAATATTTGTAATGTCCTAAAGAACTTTTGTTTTTACAAATTCGCACAAAACAAATGTAAATGCAGATTTGCCAGAAAAATTACTATGTGATTTGTTTTTTTTTTAAAATGTTCCCCATAAGTTCAGTGAAAGTCGTATATTTTCCAGGGTGTATGGGAGTGCGGGTAGTTTATGGAAGCCCGCCATTCCTCAGTAGGTGATGCTGGAATTTCCATGTTGCAGGAATCATTATCCCTGCAGGTAGCAGAGGAGCTCCCGGATTTATATAAGCAGGCAATCATTGACATGTTCGGGGCTTGTTAGAACCCTACCCTAATCCCTGATAAGATGAAGGACAGATTGGCACCAGGTAGTAATGAGGCACCTTGGGAGAAGAATGAAATCCATGACAGCAGTGCCATTGCTGCCAGTCCCTCCACTATCTGGTGACCTTGACATCCTTTTACAGCTTTATTGTGGGGTGTAAACTCCAAGAGATCAAAATCGTCTGTATAGCTTTACGACCGCTGAGGTCAAAGGGTAACTACGGTATATGGGTAACAAGGGAGCACTAATCACTGTTATGGTGTTTACCTGAAAGTCATTTATGATGCCGATTTCACATTTTTCCAAGTTGTTCCGTATTTTAATCATTACATTTCATGTGTAGTTCATGTGTAGAGCTCCCTCTAGTGGTCATTTGTACAAGGACCACTTTCCATGACAATGCTGCTGAGACAAAACCAGCAGAGGTATAGTTGCCCGCTAATATCAGATGGCAATTTTCAGCTGGTCTGGTGACATGAGACTCGTGCATGGTGGCATTTCGGGAGGTTTTCCAGTTGTCTTTCCATCTCCCCCTTTGTTCTCTGTAGATATAAATGGGAACAGTTGGCCAGCTGGGATGTTTGTGTTTGAGTGTTCACTCAATAGGGACACCAAAGACCAGTCAGGTCCTGCCTATATAGCTGACCGTTGTCCAGGGGCGGACTGACCATTTGGAAACTTGGGCACTGCCCGAGGGCCCGGGGTCAGTAGGGGGGCCCCATGAGATGCCCCTGGTACCTTTTTCATAGGCTTTTTTGAATTTGGGCAAGGACACAGGGGCCCCATGATCCCCTATTGCCCAGGGGCCCCATGAGTTGTCAGTCCGCCCCTGCCGTTGTCCTATATATCTACCTACTGCTACGGCTAAGTCCTGTGGGTGGGGCAACATCAGCGGAGCTTATCCTGGAAGCCTAGGCCGAGGCTGCTTTCCAGCTACTGATCTAGTACACAGGCTGCTTAGGGGTGCGGCGTCTCCGAGTTACACTTTACCTGCAGCTTTGTGACCTATGATTGGGCCCTGTGGGTGAAATGCGTTAGTGTGCATAGCCTGGGAGGAGCCTAGGCTGGGGCTGCTGCTTTCCATCTACTGATTTAGTGCATAGGCTGCTTGGGAGTGCGGCATCTCCAAGTCACGTTTTACAGTATCTCCCAGAAGTGAGTCCCTCCCTCACATTTGTGTAAATCTTTGATTCTCTCTTTTCATGTGACAACACTGAAGAAATGACACTTTGCTACAATGTGACGTAGTCAGTGTACAGCTTGTATAACATGGAAATTTGCTGTCCCCTCAAAATAACTCATCTTAGCCATTAATGTCTAAACCGCTGGCAACAAAAGTGAGTCCACCCCTAAGTGACGAGGTCCAAATTGGGCCCAAAGTGTCAATATTTTGTGTGGCCGCCATTATTTTTCAGCACTGCCTGTGTTTTTCAGGCAGTCAGGGCTGACCAATAGATTTGCACTGATAAAGAGCAGCAAAGCACAATCACTGCACAGCACATCTGAACAGGCAGTAGAAACTTCCTATAGAAGGTAAAAATGCAAATGGATGTGTATGGGGCCAGCCTAAAGCCCAACTCTGCTCCATCCCATCAGGATTTCCACATTTATTTTTTTCCATTTTTTATACTGACCTTTTCAGATGTCTTCAGCCCAGTAATGTGACACACAGGGGGTCCTGTACCTTTTCATCTCTTGATTGTCACAATCAAGACCTCAGCACCCTTGTTTGCATCCTTGTGTGTGAGTGGAAGGATGCTGTGATGATGGCCCTTGGGGGTGGGCCCATGACACCTTCCTTATAGGAAGAGGTTTGTATGACCATGGGCGAAGACAGGGGCGGACTGACCATTTGGAAACTCGGGCACTGCCCGAGGGCCCGGGGTCAGTAGGGGGCCCCATGAGATGCCCCTGCTACCTTTTTAATAGGCTTTTTTGAGTTTGGGCAAGGACACAGGGGCCCCATGATCCCCTATTGCCCGGGGGCCCCATGAGTTGTCAGTCCGCCCCTGGGAGAAGAACTACTGGAGACCAGGGAAAGGATGGCTGGTTGGAGGGGCTGGCATGGTACCGTACATAGCTTTCTGAAAACATCACAACCTCCTGCCTCAGTAGTCCTCTAAAGAGCCCTCAGCCCTGATGCAAGCAGTGGGAGGAGTTCTGACAATAAATGCCTTGATGGGTGGGTATCAGTCTGGAGGAGTAGGTGTTCCCAGGCAGGTTGATTTTGCATGAAGACACCCATCATGCTGAGCCTCCATGATCGGCAGAATGGAAATCCAATGAATGAGAGGGGCGGGGCCAGGGAAAGTCATGCTTTGGAGGAAAGCGGTAGATGAACCTGGACATCCTCCAGACAGGAAATGAGGCGGAGCTCTGTCTGATTTGTTGCAGCTTCTAATGCACATTGTGAGAAGCTCACAGTATATAGTGAAATCAGAGTAAGTCAGTTCAGTCCAGGAGAGGAGCCAGTACAACTGTGCAAGACTGGAGGGGAGGAGTCAGTACAACTGTACAAGACTGGAGGGGAGGGGTCAGTACATCTGTGCAAGACTGAAGGGGAGGAGCCGGTACACCTGTGCAAGACTGAAGGTGAGGTGCCGGTACACCTGTGCAAGACTGAAGGGGGGAGGAGCTGGTACACCTGTGCAAGACTGAAGGGGAGGAGTCGGTACACCTGTGCAAGACTGAAGGGGAGGAGCCGGTACACCTGTGCAAGACTGAAGGGGAGGAGCCAGTACAACTGTACAAGACTGGATGGGAGGAGTCAGTACATCTGTGCAAGACTGAAGGGGAGGAGCTGGTACACCTGTGCAAGACTGAAGGTGAGGTGCCGGTACACCTGTGCAAGACTGAAGGGGAGGAGTCGGTACACCTGTGCAAGACTGAAGGGGAGGAGCCGGTACACCTGTGCAAGACTGAAGGGGAGGAGCCGGTACACCTGTGCAAGACTGAAGGGGAGGAGCCGGTACACCTGTGCAAGACTGAAGGGGAGGAGCCGGTACACCTGTGCAAGACTGAAGGGGAGGAGCCGGTACATCTGTGCAAGACTGAAGGGGAGGTCGGAGGTAGGATTTGCAGTGGGCAGCGGGATGTGAGATGACAATCTTCTGATGTACACTGTTCAGCTTTGAATCCCATGTCTGTATGTTGGTGATAGGGTGGCCACCTCATCCCTCAAATCCCGAACACATATGAATGACACAGGTTCTGGGGCTAACTGAATGCAGATACGGCATCAAGTGAGATTAATTACCACCTTCATCAGCCCCAGAACCTGTGTAACTAATATGTGTTCGGGTTTAAAGGGATGAGTTGGCAATCCTAGTTGGTGACTAGTGATTGGTTCATGGATCATCTTGTTTTCAGGTGTGGAGTTTGTGTCCATGGAATGGAGATCTGCTCTGAAAACCCTTTTAATCTAATGATCATTGCATCCTTTTACAAGGACAGTACTTACCTCAGGTCCTCCCTACAACCACTATACTGAGGAGATCACCTGATTTATTCCAGGAGATCCCGTTCCCTGCTCTGTACTCTGTATGTGTGTGATTGCAGAGCGCCACCCAGTGCTCAATGGATACACTGTATGACCAGAGACTGCATGAGGACAAGACCAATGTGAATGGCTCAATGTTCTCTGTACAGTGCTGTGGTATATATCAGACCTATATAAATATACACTGATCAAAATATGAAAGGATGTCAATGGGAAAAAATCTCCTTCTGGATCTCTATACTGACATGGACGGGGTAATGTGTTAGGAACGTAAGGACGCCCCATCATTTGATGGAAATGAAAATGATCGACACACAGAAGACTGAATTCAAAGATACCCCGAAAATCAAAGTGCAAAAATGATGCAGCAGGCGAGTCCATTTTGCAGAAATGTTATTGCAGCAACTCAGAATGGTCCTCAGTAGTCTGTGTGGCTCCCACATGCTTGTATGCATGCCTGACAACGTCAGGGGAGGCTCCTAGTGAGATGACGGATGGTGTCCTGGGGGATTTCCTCCCAGATCTGGACCAGGACATCACTGAGCTCCTGGACAGTCTGGGGTGCAACCTGGCTGCGTCGGATGGACCGAAACATGATATCCCAGAGAAGTTCTATTAAATTTAGAACAGGCGAGCGTGGGGGCCATTCAATGGTATCAATTCCTTCATCCTCCAGGAACTGCCTGCATACTCTCACCACATGAGGCCGGGCATTGTTGTGCACCAGGAGGAACCCAGGACCCACTGCACTAGGAGGAATCCAGGACCCACTACACCAGTGTGGGGTCTGACAATGGGTCCAAGGATTTCATCCCGATACAGTGCCTTGAAAAAGTATGCATACCCCTTGAAATTTCCCACATTTTGTCATGTTACAACCAAAACGTCAATGTATTTTATTGGGATTTGATGTGATAGACCAAGACAAAGTGGCACATATTTGTGAAGTGGAAGGAAAATGAGAAACACTCATACTCAATACTTTGTAGGACCACCTTTTGCTGCAATTCCAGCTGCAAGTCTTTTTGGGGATGTCTCTTTGCACATCTAGAGAGGGACATTTCTGCCCATTCTTCTTTGCAGAATCACTCAAGCTCTGTCAGATTGGATGGAGAGCGTCTGGGAACAGCAATTTTCAGGTCTGGCCATTGGATTTAGTTCTGGACTGTGACTGGGCCATTCTAACACATGAAGATGCTTTGATCTGAACCATTCCATTGTAGCTCTGGCTGGATGTTCCGGGTCTTTGTCCTGCTGGAAGGTGGACCTCCTCCCCGGTCTCAAGTCTCAAGTCTTCTGCAGACTCTAACAGATTTTCTTCTAAGATTGCTCCTTATTTGGCTCCATCCATCTTCGCATCAACTCTGACCAGCTTCCCTGTCCCTGCTGAAGAAAAGCATCCCCCACCACATGATGCTGCCACCACCATGTTTCACAGTGGGGATGGTGTGTTCAAGGGGATGTGCATTGTTAGTTTTCCACCACACATAGCGTTTTGCTTTAAGGCCAAAAAGTTAAGTTTTGGTCTCATCTGACCAGAGCCCCTTCTTCCACATATTTGCTGTGCCCAGGGGCGGACTGACCATTTGGAAACTCGGGCAGTGCCCGAGGGCCCGGGTCAGTAGGGGGCCCCATGAGATGCCCCTGGTACCTTTTTCATAGGCTTTTTTGAGTTTGGGCAAGGACACAGGGGCCCCATGATCCCCTATTGCCCGGGGGCCCCATGAGTTGTCAGTCCGCCCCTGGCTGTGCCCACCACATGGCTTTTCACAAACTGAAATGGGACTTCTTATGGCTTTCGTTCAACAATGACTTTCTTCTTGCCACTCTTCCATAAGGGCCAGATTTGTGGAGCACTTGACTAATAGTTGTCCTGTGGACAGATTCTCCCCCCTGAGCTGTAGATCTCTGCAGCTCCTCCACAGTTCCCATGGGCCTCTTGGCTGCTTCTCTGATGAATGCTCTCCTTGCCCGACCTGTCAGTTTAGGTGGATGGCCATGTCTTGGTAGGTTTACAGTTGTGTCGTACTTTTTCCATTTTTGGATGATGGATTAAACAGTGCTCTGTGAGATGTTGAAAGCTTGGGACATTTTTTACAACCCAACCCTGCTTTAAACGTTTTCAAAATTTTATCCCTGACCTGGTGTGTTCCTTGGCCTTCATGATGCTGTTTGTTCACTAATGTTCTCTAACAAACCTCTGAGAGCTTCACAGAACAGCTGGATTTATACTGAGATTACATGACTCTATTTATTAATTAGGTGACTTCTGAAGGCAATTGGTTCCACTAGATTTTAGTTGGGGGTATCAGACTAAAGGGGGCTGAATACAAATGCCACCACACTTTTCAGATTTATTTGTAAAGAATTTTGAAAAACATTTATAATTTTCTATCCACTGCACAATTTTGTGCCACTTTGTGTTGGTCTATCATATAAAATCCCAATAAAATACATTTACATTTTTGGTTGTAACATGACAAAATGTGGAACATGTCAAGGGGTATTAATACTTTTTCAAGGCACTGTACCTAATGGCAGTCAGCGTGCCATTGTCTAGCCTGTAGAGGTCTGTGCATCTCTCTTCATGGATATTTCTTCCCAGACCATCGCTGACCCCCCACCAAAACGGTCATGCTGAAACATGTTACAGGCAGCAGAATGTTCTCCACGGCTTCTCCAGACCCTTTCACGTCTGTCACATGTGCTCAGGGTGAACCTCCCCTCATCTGTGAAAAGCACAGGGCGCCAGTGGTGGACCTGCCAATTCTGGTTTTCACTGGTTAATGCCAATCCAGCTCTATGGTGCCGGGCAGTGAGCACAGGGCCCACTAGAGGACGTTGGGCCCTCAGGCCACCCTCATGAAGTCTGTTTCTAATTGTTTGGTCAGAGACATTCACACCAGTGGCCTGCTGGAGGTCATTTTGTAGGGCTCTGGCAGGGCTCATCCTGTTTCTCCTTGCACAAAGGAGCAGATACCGGTCCTGCTGATGGCTCAAAGACCTTCTACGGCCCGATCCAGCTCTCCTAGAGTAACTGCTTGTCTCCTGGAATCTTCTCCATGCTCTTGAGACTATGCTGGGGAGACACAGCAAACCTACTGACAATGGCACGTATTGATTTGCCATCTTGGAGGAGTTGGACTGCCTGTGCAACCTCTGTAGGGTCCAGGTATGGCCTCATGCTACCAGTAGTGACACTGACCCTGGCCAAATGCAAAACTAGTGCAAAAACAGTCAGAAAAGATGGGCAGCCTCCACCTGTAAAACAGTTTATGTTTTGGGGGTTATCTCATTGTTGCCCATCTAGTGCACTGTTCCCAATTTCATTAACACCAAAGCAGCTGAAACTGATGAACACCCCCTTCTGCTACTTACCTGACCAGATCCATATCCCAGGAGTTTCACTGACTTGATGCTAGACTCAGATTAAAAAGCTTTAATTTTTTTGAGCAGTGTATAATAATAATAGTGTAGGACTGTGGGGGGACATTAGATTGTAAGCTCCTCTGGTACAGAGACTGATGTGACTGGCTCAGTGATCTCTGTACAACACTGCGGTATATGTCAGAGCTATATAAATGTATAATAATAGTGTGTGACTGCAGACTGTATTTTTTCAGTTCTCCATCAGACACATGTATCTTGGTTATATACACTATATTGCCAAAAGTATTGGGCCGCCTGCCTTTCCACGCACCTGAACGTTAATAGCATTCCAGTCTTAGTCCGTAGGGTTCAATATTGAGTTGGCCCCGCCCTTTGCAGCTATAACAGCTTCAAGTCTTCTGGAAAGGCCGTCCACAAGGTTTAGGAGGGTGTCTATGGGAAAGTTGGACCATTCTTCCAGAAGCACATTTGTCAGGTCAGGCACTGATGTCAGGGGAGGAGGCCTGGCTCGCAGTCTCCGCTCTAATTCATCCCAAAGGTGTTCTATGGGGTTGAGGTCAGGACTGTGTGCAGGCCAGTCAAGTTCCTCCACCCCAAACTGGCTCCTCCATGTCTTTATGTACCTTTCTTTGTGCACTGGTGTGCAGTCATGTTGGAACAGGAAGGGGCCATCCCCAAACCCTTCCCACAAAGTTGGGAACATGAAATTGTCCAAAATTTCGCCTTAAGAGTTCCCTTCACTGGAACTAGGGGGCCAAGCCCAACCCCTGAAAAACAACCCTGCACCATAATCCCCCTCCACCAAACTGTACACTTGGCACAATGCAGTCAGGCAAGTACCGTTCTCCTGGTAACCGCCAAACCCAAACATATCCATCAGATTGCCAGACAGAGAAGTGTGATTGGTCACTCCAAAGAACACGTCTCCATTGCTCTAGAGTCCAGTTGCGGCATGCTTTACACCTCGGCATCCAACACTTTGCATTGCACTTGGTGATGGAAGGCTTGGATGCAGCTGCTCGGCCATGGAAACCCATTCCATGAAGCTCTCTACGCACTGTTGTTGGGCTCATCTGAAGGCCACACCAAGTTTGGAGGTCTTTAGCTATTGACTCTGCAGACAGTTGGTGACTTCTGTGCACTGTGCGCTTCAGCATGCGCCGACCCCGCTCTGTCATGTGACGTGGCCTACCACTTGGTGGCTGAGTGGCTGTTGTTCCCAGTTGCTTC